GTCCTTGAAAAAAATATTCTTTAAAAAATCCACGTCTCTATTGGTCCTTGAAAAAAATATTCTTTAAAAAATCCACGTCTCTATTGGTCCTTGAAAAAAATATTCTTTAAAAAAATCCACGTCTCTATTGGTCCTTGAAAAAAATATTCTTTAAAAAATCCACGTCTCTATTGGTCCTTGAAAAAATATTCTTTAAAAAATCGACGTCTCTATTGGTCCTTGAAAAAATATTCTTTAAAAAATCCACGTCTCTATTGGTCCTTGAAAAAAATATTCTTTAAAAAATCCACGTCTCTATTGGTCTTTGAAAAAATATTCTTCAAAAAATCCACGTCTCTATTGGTCCTTGAAAAAAATATTCTTAAAAAATCCACGTCTCTATTGGTCCTTGAAAAAATATTCTTTAAAAAATCCACGTCTCTATTGGTCCTTGAAAAAATATTCTTTAAAAAATCCACGTCTCTATTGGTCCTTGAAAAAAATATTCTTTAAAAAATCCACGTCTCTATTGGTCCTTGAAAAAAATATTCTTTAAAAATCCACGTCTCTATTGGTCCTTGAAAAAATATTCTTTAAAAAATCCACGTCTCTATTGGTCTTGAAAAAATATTCTTTAAAAAATCCACGTCTCTATTGGTCCTTGAAAAAAATATTCTTTAAAAAATCCACGTCTCTATTGGTCCTTGAAAAAATATTCTTTAAAAAATCACGTCTCTATTGGTCCTTGAAAAAAATATTCTTTAAAAATCCACGTCTCTATTGGTCCTTGAAAAAAATATTCTTTAAAAAATCGACGTCTCTATTGGTCCTTGAAAAAATATTCTTTAAAAAATCGACGTTCTATTGGTCCTTGAAAAAATATTCTTTAAAAAATCCACGTCTCTATTGGTCCTTGAAAAAAATATTCTTTAAAAAATCCACGTCTCTATTGGTCCTTGAAAAAATATTCTTTAAAAAATCCACGTCTCTATTGGTCCTTGAAAAAAATATTCTTTAAAAAAATCCACGTCTCTATTGGTCCTTGAAAAAAATATTCTTTAAAAAATCGACGTCTCTATTGGTCCTTGAAAAAAATATTCTTTAAAAAATCCACGTCTCTATTGGTCCTTGAAAAAATATTCTTTAAAAAAATCCACGTCTCTATTGGTCCTTGAAAAAAATATTCTTTAAAAAATCCACGTCTCTATTGGTCCTTGAAAAAAATATCTTTAAAAAATCCACGTCTCTATTGGTCCTTGAAAAAAATATTCTTTAAAAAATCCACGTCTCTATTGGTCCTTGAAAAAAATATTCTTTAAAAAATCCACGTCTCTATTGGTCCTTGAAAAAATATCTTTAAAAAATCCACGTCTCTATTGGTCCTTGAAAAAAATATTCTTTAAAAAATCCACGTCTCTATTGGTCCTTGAAAAAAATATTCTTTAAAAAATCCACGTCTCTATTGGACCTTGAAAAAAATATTCTTTAAAAAATCCACGTCTCTATTGGCCCTTGAAAAAATATTCTTTAAAAAATCCACTCCTCTATTGGCCCTTGAAAAAATATTCTTTAAAAAATCCACTCCTCTATTTCTGCCTGAAAAAAAATTCTTTAAAAAATCCACGTCTCTATTGGCCCTTGAAAAAAAATTCTTTAAAAAATCCACGTCTCTATTGGCCCTTGAAAAAAATTTTTTTAAAAAAATCCACGTCTCTATTGGCCCTTGAAAAAATATTCTTTAAAAAATCCACGTCTCTATAGGCCCTTGAAAAATTATTCTTTAAAAAATCCACGCCTCTATTGGTCCTTGAAAAATATTCTTTAAAAAATCCACGTCTCTATTGGCCCTTGAAAAAATATTCTTTAAAAAATTCACGTCTCTATTGGCCTTTAAAAAATATTCTTTAAAAAATCCACGCCTCTATTGGTCCTTGAAAAATATTCTTTAAAAAATCCACGCCTCTATTGGTCCTTGAAAAATATTCTTTAAAAAATCCACGACTCTATTGGTCCTTGAAAAATATTCTTTAAAAAACCCACGCCTCTATTGGCCCTTGAAAAAATATTCTTTAAAAAATCCACGTCTCTATTGGCCCTTGAAAAAATATTCTTTAAAAAATCCACTCCTCTATTTATGCCTGAAAAAATATTCTTTAAAAAATCCACGTCTCTATTGGTCCTTCAAATAATATTCTTTAAAAAATCCACTCCTCTATTTATGCCTGAAAAAATATTCTTTCAAAAATTCATTCCTCTATTTATGCCTGAAAAAATATTCTTTAAAAAATCCACGTCTCTATTGGCCCTTGAAAAAATATTCTTTAAAAAATCCACGCCTCTATTGGTCCTTGAAAATAATTCATTAAAAAATCCACTCCTCTATTTATGCCTGAAAAAATATTCTTTAAAAAATCCACTCCTCTATTTATGCCTGAAAAAATATTCTTTAAAAAATCCACTCCTCTATTTATGCCTGAAAAAATATTCTTTAAAAAATCCACGTCTCTATTGGTCCTTGAAAAAAATATTCTTTAAAAAATCCACGTCTCTATTGGTCCTTGAAAAAAATATTCTTTAAAAAATCCACGTCTCTATTGGACCTTGAAAAAAATATTCTTTAAAAAATCCACGTCTCTATTGGACCTTGAAAAAAATATTCTTTAAAAAATCCACGTCTCTATTGGACCTTGAAAAAAATATTCTTTAAAAAATCCACGTCTCTATTGTTCCTTGAAAAAAATATTCTTTAAAAAATCCACGTCTCTATTGGTCCTTGAAAAAATATTCTTTAAAAAATCCACGTCTCTATTGTTCCTTGAAGAAATATTCTTTAAAAAATTCACGTCTCTAATGTTCCTTGAAAAAATATTCTTTAAAAAATATTGAAAAAAATATTCTTTAAAAAATCCACGTCTCTATTGGTCCTTGAAAAAAATATTCTTTAAAAAATCCACGTCTCTATTGGTCCTTGAAAAAATATTCTTTAAAAAATCCACGTCTCTATTGGTCCTTGAAAAAAATATTCTTTAAAAAATCCACGTCTCTATTGTTCCTTGAAAAAATATTCTTTAAAAAATTCACGTCTCTATTGTTCCTTGAAAAAAATATTCTTTAAAAAATCCACTCCTCTATTTATGCCTGAAAAAATATTCTTTAAAAAATCCACTCCTCTATTTATGCCTGAAAAAAAAATCTTTAAAAAATCCACTCCTCTATTTATGCCTGAAAAAATTCTTTAAAAAATCCACGCCTCTATTGGTCCTTGAAAAAATATTCTTTAAAAAATCCACTCCTCTATTTATGCCTGAAAAAATTCTTTAAAAAATCCACGCCTCTATTGGCCCTTGAAAAATATACTGTAAAAAATCCACGCCTCTATTGGTCCTTGAAAAAATATTCTTTAAAAAATCCACGCATCTATTGGTTCTTTAAAAAAAATATTCTTTATAAAATCCACGCATCTATTGGTCCTTGAAAAATATTATTTAAAAAATCCACGCCTCTACTGGCCCTTGAAAAAATATTCTTTAAAAAATCCACGTATCTCTTGGTCCTTGAAAAAAATATTCTTTAAAAATCCACGCCTCTATTGGCCCTTGAAAAAATATTCTTTAAAAAAATCCACGCCTCTATTGTCCCTTGAAAAAATATTCTTTAAAAAATCCACGTCTCTATTGGTTCTTGAAAAATATTCTTTAAAACATCCACGCCTCTATTGGTCCTTGAAAAATACTCTTTAAAATATCCACGCCTCTATTGGCCCTTGAAAAAATATTCTTTAAAAAATCCACGCCACTGTTGGTTCTTGAAAAATATTCTTTAAAAAATCCACACATCTATTGGTTCTTGAAAAACTATTCTTTAAAAAATCCACGCCTCCATTGGTCCTTGAAAAAATATTCTTTAAAAATCCACACATCTAATGGTTCTTGAAAAATATTCTTTAAAAAATCCACGCATCTATTGGTCCTTGAAAAATATTCTTTAAGAAATCCATACCTCTATTGGTCCTTGAAAAAATATTCTTTAAAAAATCCACCCAACTATTGGTTTTTGAAAAATATTATGAAGGTATGGTGGAGGGTATTACAAAATAATACATTGTTCTTTACATAAAGAGTTATTCTTCAAATTAGCAGTTGGCAGAAACTGAAAAACTGTTAATTGGTTAAAAACTTCAAATTTTAAATAAAATTTCGAAAAACTTTAGCCAGTCCTATAATCGGCTAAAATCTAAAATCATTCTCCGTGCCAAAAATAGGTAGAACTTACTAGTTTTGCAATTTTAATATTTTTTAACCGTTTTTATTTATTTTTTTTTTAATTCAATTTAATTTTAATTTTATTTTTTTTTTTTTGTGGCATCACTTATAATATCCAGTCAAGATTTTTGACATTTGTAAAATTTTAAACATTTCATTGTCACTGAAAACATTTATATCTTTAAATCATATTTTTACTGAAATTATTCCTAAAATTCCTTGTAATCGAGTTTACTACTTGTCACTGCTCAGAACAGTGACACCACTCACTGGCTAGCTGACTGACTGACTGTCGGTCTATATGTTTGCCTCTTAGCATGTTGGGAGATTGTCATTCGTTCGTTGTTGTAATTCCACTTAACCAATTCATGTATGCTTAAGTTTTATTAATGAATCCACATGTAACATGTTGCAGTTCGCTGCATACATACCTGCATAATACATGCATTGACTATTGACTCTTGTCTGTCACATGGATAGACGACAATTTATCTCATAACCCTGACAGTTCTCGGAGGATAATGGACAATGATAAGTAAGAGTCGCACAAAAAAATGGAAGGATTCTTGTCATATTTTCAGAAACCTGTTGGGATGATAGTGAGGTTATGTTTTCCAAAGAGATAAGAATGCACATTAATTTAAGTCCTTGCAGTCATGTGTGGCGTCATGTCACTTTGAAATTATTTTAATGATTTCGATAAATATTTTTAATTTAAAATTAATTTTCCTAAATAACAATTTTTTATTTCTTTTGCAGATAACAGCCATTGGTAACTTTGAATTAGAAATATTAGAAATTTCAAATACAAATAACCATTTATTATCGGGTTATTGCTGTGGTGTTCCTTTAGAAATAAGAAGTACAAAAACAACAGGTAAGTGAAAATAAATTGTATATTCTATTTTTATGTTTTAATTAGCTGAGGTAATGGTCTCAAACAAGTGCTAATATGTTAGGGCAGAATTATTTGAGACTGATGAGAAAAATACGTTGCTGGATCCCGGGGGAAATCCAGCAAATTATGAACGTAGAGCTAATGAAGAAGACACCGTATTGGCGTTGGGAAAGTTTATATCGAAAATTATCTAAAATAGAGAGGGTCAAGTTTCCCCTTCAACACACTTTGGGAAATTTTCGGATGGTGAAGTGGTAAAAACGGAATCGCAGCATTTCAAAATAATCTACAAAATGATTTGCCGTAAAATACTTTAAGCGATTTTATGCAAAAATCTCCTACAACCCATCATCTTAGAAGGATTACGTCAGAGACAAAAATATTCTTCATCAAATTTTATTGTAAGACACTAAAGAAAAAAGATAACAGATCTCAGCCATATGGCTGATATATACCCTATCATTAGATACGCCAAAACGTGAATCATAGAAATAAAGGTTTTAGACCTTGGGTCTCTTTGGACCAAATCCGTTTCCGGGCATTTGGAGTCGATCTAGCGTCAGATACCTCTCGAAGAGAGTATTCGATTTGATCTAAACTTCGGTACATCATAATATTATCAAACTTAGATTGAATTCAGAGATAGGCAATATCGGTCCAGTCCTTCTGGTATTTTTCAAATAAGGTACGTCATAGAAAGAGAATAAATCATTCGATTTTGTCAATTTTTGTCAGTGCTAGGTTGGGTTGGAAAATGCACAATATCGGTCCACTCCATCGAGTACCACCCCCACTTAGTGTCAAATTTTCAAATAATTATAATTCTTATAAAATGTGCAATAAGAGTCCGACTGTCTTCAAATTTCACATTCGAACGTTTTTATTAACACAAGATCTTGCCTGTTTAAATCATATTATTTGACCCCCACGACAGGTCAAAATTTTGAAAAATCTAATAAAATGTGAAATAGGAGTCCCGCGGTCTTTAAATTTCGCACATCCCAATTCTTTTACCAACACAAGATCTGGATCAAAAATGAATATAACGGACTACAACTTCTGGTACCTTCCTTACAACTGGTCAAAACTTCGGATAACCATAAAAGGCGAAATAAGCATACGATTCTTTTCAAACGTAGCACATGCTAAAATTTCCTACAACTCGAGATGTGGTATGGAGATGGGATACATCAACCTGCTCCTTCAGGTGCCTCACCCATAAAAGGTAAAAGTTTTAAATAAATCCTATAAAATGTGAAATAAAGAAAGTCCGATTATCTTCAAATTTTGCACATCTCTATATTTTTACCAATACAAGATCTGGTATGAAGATATATTTATGTCGGACCACTTCTTATGGTACCTCCGGATCAATTTTTTTTTAATAATTATATCTCAGAAAAAAACGAAATAAGCACCCTTTTCTTAAAATTTCAAATAAAAAATGTCGGACCACTTCTTATGGTACCTCCGGTTCAACATTTTTAATAATTATCTCTCAGAAAGTACGAAATAAGCACTCATCTCTTCAAATTTCAAACATTCAATGTTTTTTATACCCTACACCACAAGGTGGTCAGGGTATTATGTCTTTGTGCATTTGTTTGTAACAGACAAAAGAAAACGAGATAGACCCATAGTTCCTTTTGATGATCTGCATAGAATCACATTCGGAGTCTATTTATGCATGTCCGTCCGTCCGTCTGTCCATGTATTTTTGTAAACAAAGTACAGTTCGCATTTATTACCCGATCCAGATGAAATTTTCCATAAATCATTTGTTTGGTCCAAGGAAGATCCCTATTGAAATTGGAGATAATCGGTAAAAATTTAGATATAGCTCCCATATATATCTTCATCCGATTTGCCTTTAATTGTGCTTCAAACGTGTAATATCAACCCGAATGATATGGAATTTTGCACATACAACCAAATTAGGCCTGAAAATAAGTATGCCAAATTTTATCGAAATCGGTTCAGATATAGCTATAGCTCCCATATATATTGTTCATCCGATTTGTTATATTTGTTACCCACAGCCGTAATATGCACTCCGTAACAACGATATTCAGGGAAATATATCAAATACAGCTCAGAAATATCTTTGCCAAAATTCATCGATTACACATCTCAATACTTTTTATCAGTATTTGTATTTTCTGTTTTAATACCCTTTCTTCTTCTCCCCTACCTCTTTCACAAGAGTTCAACATTTTCCAAAAAATATAGGTGAGGGGAGGAAGTAGTCGATATTGTCCCAACCTAATATGTCGCAGTAATTATATCAAATTTAGGTCATATACGAAATGAGAAATTTTGAGCCACTTCTTCGGTACCGCCCCAATAAAGAGTAAACATTTTGAATAATCAAGTCAAAATATGTTTCAGTATCAAACATAAGCTGAGGGTATATATCCGTCGTCGAAAACGACTGATACTTTTTAATAAGCCCTGGAAGGCTTTGACCATAAAATTAGTAATTTTTGCATAATTGTGATTTAACTCTCTTTGAATTTCAAATCACAATCGGTCTTTTGACAGCAAATTTAGTTGTCAGATGGGTTGACCTGCCGACCTTTATAGGGTCGTCAGATGTGGCCGACCTTATATATGACTTGCTTTTTAATTTTTTGTTTTTGAAAATTTGAAATGCTGAGCCTATACCAAGAACTGAACCTTTTCCGGGGATATCCTCATAGAATTAAAAACATCAAATTATAAGAAACTAATTAAGTAAACATGCTTTTAAAATCTTCAAACTACTTTAAATCTGAAAATACTGGCTAAACCAAATAGTTGACTTGAAAACTGTTTTCAGAAATGATTTTTTTTCTTACTGAGAACAATGTCAAAATACAAAAAATTTTGATTGTGAATGAACTTTTAAAAATATTGAAAATTCGAAGTCTCATATATTGGGCTTTATCTAATCGTAGCAGACAATTATGGGCGGAGAATTAACCTTTCCAGACGATCTTAACTTGGAAATATTTTTGGATTCTTATTGATAACATTTTACATTTTTGATTTAAAACAAATGTACCCTCTCTTCATGTTTTTCCAGGTTGTCCGCCGTGTTCAACAGCATTTCGTTTGTGCCTTAAGGAGTATTCAGCAGCCGAACAAGGTACACCCAGTATATCAACGGGATGTTCGTTTGGCAATACAACGACGGGGATATTAGGTGGTTCCAGTTTTGTGCTCAGCGATCCGGTTCGAGGTGCCATGATATTGCCATTTACATTTCGATGGACGGTAAGTGGAATAAACGACTACTCGTATTAAAAAAATCAATACATCCCAAGCCAAAAGGCAAAAAAAAAAAGAATTCTGAATTAAAAAAAAAAATAGCAGATTTAAAAAATTTAAGGGGCGCTTTATTTAAAGGTTACCCAATGCTTTACTATCAAACCTAAAGTTTAAATTTTCTCGTCATAGTATTTTGGGTTAAAATCAGATAAAGCCGATTTCTAGAAATAATATCTAGTTCTCAATATTTGACTGGTAAAAGATTGGTCATAAGAATAAGTTAATTTTTTTTTCATTTTGACATCACTACACCATAAAATTGTTGGCACTACCTCCGCTCATGGGTGGACAATTAAACCGCTGTTAATGTACATCGTGTTTCCATTACACAACATTAATATTCATGGCCAAGCGAAAGTAAACGACTTTGTCTCAATGGTGGCCATAAAAAAGTCTGCAATTGCCGATAGTATTGCAAATGAATTGTTAAAGAGGAAAAAAATAATTCGATAAGAAAGATATCTATCATTGGCAAGAAATACTCTATAGAGGGCGGAGGGATAAAAGGCAATCAATGCATCGGAACAAGTAAGAAATGGAAATAAAGTGTAAATCGCTTGGGAACATTTCTGGGTCATTAAACCCGCATTACAATTTTATGGTTACCTTTTACAATCTATTTGAGTAATGCAAGGAATATTAAATATTGTTATGTTCTTCGTCAGAACTTTATTGGAAGAGCACATAATGAAGATGTTAGGAAGTATTGTTGAGAGTCGTTCTGAAAACAACGAGCTAAATTGATTATACCATTAAAAATTACAATTAGCAACATTGTATTCAAAATATTCGAAAGGCTTTTATCTAAAGTAATTTTACGCTTTTTTATATCTTATTAAAAAAAAAAAAAACAATAAAAAACTTCTTAAAAAACTGTTTAAATAAGTAAATGGCCCTTAGCTAGAAAAACATAAAAAGTATTCTATATAAACAGTTTTTAAGTCTTGTATAGGTCCAATAATATTAAATACGTTCTACAGACGGCAAATTTAAAAGGACTTTTTTCTTTTCTATAGACAACGAAAGTTTTCCATTTACTCTATAGACAAAAGATTCCTTCATTACATTGTACAGATATAGGACTTTTTTAAGAACTTTAAAAGAAAAAGGGCCTGTGTAATGTCATCTATCAAAGAACAGATTTCCAGGGACACAATAAACAGAACAGCTTTTAAAGATACATTTCAAGGCATTTCTTAACGGGACAGCTTTGCAAGGTAATTATAAACGCTTTTCATGGACAGAGGAGCTATTCAGGTTGCCCTATATAAGTAAGAGCCTTCGGTTTTCTATAGGTAGATGGGCTTTAGTAAACTTCCTATAGTCTGAGAAAGCTTTACAGAGCCTACAAGAGACATAAGAGCTTTTTAAGTCTTCATTAGATAGATTCTCTTTTCAAGGTATTTTATGGGCAGAAGTAATTCTCAAGGGGTCTTTATGAAAACACAAATTTTCATGGCCTTCTGTTTGCAAAAGAGCTTTCAAAATCTTTTACAGACACCAAACACCCAATATATACTACAGACCACATATCTTTCCAAAGTCCTTTATAGACGTGAGACTTTTCGAGGCCATCTATAGACCGAAGAGTTTTCCAGGGTCTTCTATGAACAAAAGAGTATTTCAAGGTATTCTACAGATGGAAACGCTTTAGACGGAAAAGCTTTGCTAGACGTTCTGCCGTCTGAAGAGCTGCACGTATACCTTGTTGCAATAGTCAGAAAAACTTTTTAAGTATTCAATAGACGGATTCACTTTTCAAGGTATTTTATGGGCAGAAGAATTGATCTTAAAAAGAAAGCTTTTCATGATCTTCTATTAACAGAAAAGCTTTCAAAGTCTTTTACAGACACAAATATTTTAAATATTTTCAGTAAAAAGCCGAGCTTACCAAGGTATCTATAGATATGATAACTTTCGAAGCCTTCTATAGACCGAAGAGCTTTCCACAGTCTTTTAAGTATGGAATAGCTTTTCGAGGTCTTCTATGTAAAGAAGAACTTTTTAAGGAATTCTATTGAAGGGAAAGCTTTTCTAAGTATTTTTAGTCTGATGAACTGTACAGGGTATACAAAGGCAGAAGAGCTTCTCTAGTCTTCACTAGACAGATTCAAAGTATTTTATAGGCAGAACCCTTTTAATGGCGCTTTGTTTTAGCAGAGCTTTCCAAGGTCGTCTAGAGACAGGAAAACTTTCAAGGACTTCCAAAGACAGAAAAGCTTTCCAGGGTGTTCTGAGTATGAGTTAGTTCTTCAGGGTATCCTATGGACAGAACAACGTATCAAGGTCTTCTATGGACAGAAGAGTATTTCAAGTAATTCAATGGATAAAAAAGTACTTCATTACATAGATAAGTTTTTCTTTATCCTCTACAGAGGCAAGAGCTTTACAGTGCCTTCCATAAAAAGTGACCCTAAAAATTAACTATAAAAATGTTTAAGGTCTTCTAGAGACATTTGGCTTTCTGTAAACCGAAACTCGTTAATAGGTCTTTAATAGACTAAAAGACCTTCTGTAGGCCTTTTGAATACATTTGATATACAGCAGGTCCTTTAAGGCTCTTCTTTAGACAAATGACTTCAAAAGGTTCTCTATATCTCTTAAAATCTTCATTAAAAAGATACTCTGTTCACAGAAGTCCTTCAAAAGATCATCTTGTACCTTCCAATATGCGGTATTTTAGCGACATTATTAACCGGAATTGTTTCAAATTTGGTATTTGAAATTCGTAATGAATACTACAGCTTTTGACAGAAAATTGTTTGTGCAGGTCCACGTCTTCGTATAGCCTCCATATGACAGTACCCCCTGATATTCGGTATTTTAATAATTTTGAGCGACATTATTTACCGGAACTGTTTCTAATTTCACATTTGAAGTTCGTAATGGTTATTACCTGTGACAGAAAATTGTCCGTGCAGGTCCACGTCTTCGTATAGGCCCCATGTAACGGTACCCCCGATATACGGTATTTTGATGATTTTTATTTACCGGAATTATTTCAAATTTTGTATTTGAAGTTCGTAATGGATACTACAGCCTATTCCAGAAAATTGTATGTGTAGGTCCACGTATTGTACCTCCCTATACTCGGTATTTTATTATAAACAGATTTTTTTAAGAAGTTAAGCATTTGAATATTATAATAGCTTATGACAAATGCTGCCTATGCAGGTCCACCTCGTCGTATAGACCCTAATATACGACTACATTCGGGGTTTTTAAGATTTTAACATAATTTTTAATAGATTTTTTTTGGAAAATTGCCAAATTTTGTACCAAATGGTGGAGGGTATTCAAAGTTCGGTCCTGTCGAACTCACAACTTTTTTACTTGTTTTTCTTCTTACCGCTCTTACGCCAAAATCAGTGCTTGTTTTGTGGCAAGAAAAATCCCTTCCTTCACTGCATTTAGATATAGACAGATAAAAGATTTACGGCTTAGATCCATGGCGTAGATGCAACATGATTTGTCGGACACTGTATGATTAAATGAAAATATTGGAAATTTCCCAATGTTGTCTTCTTCCTCGGCCAGCAACAACCTTGTAATCTATGTAGACGAAAAATCGTAAAGAAAAAACTCGAAAGCAATTAAAGTTGCAACGACTTCGTCGTCATCATCATCCTCGTCGTCGTTGTTGACCAGCTGGAAGTCAGGAAATTCTCATTTAAAGTCTAAAGAACTGCCAGCAACGACACACTTTTACGTTGCAACTCCGGTGAGGAAGTTGCCACTCTAGACGCAACACTAGACTGGACTGCTAGCTTAACTACTTTTCGTTTGGGCTATTTTCAGTACTGCTCAAGCGCCAAGTTGTGAAGATGGGAAGGTGGAAGGTTCTGTTCTTTCATTTATTTGATCTACCAGACAATCTTGGGGCATCTGTAATATAATTTTCTTCCTCCAGTTGCAGGGATAATAAAATGACAAGATCATTGTTTTGTGTCTACTGAGAACAATAATTTTAAGTTGCAATACAGCTATGATAATCGTAATTTGAAGATGCTGTTGTAGAGGTAAAAGAGAAATTCGTATAAAAAATATAGGAAATTCTACAAGGATTTTCTTTAACATCACAAAGTGATATATCCGATTATATCATATTTATATTTTAAGCATCATATTCGAAAACCTAAAAATGTGTGATGCTCTACAGCTAAAATGATGAAGTTCTGCACCGCCCGCGTATAGCGACAACTATATCAAGAAAATTTTATGTTTTTGATTCATTTCATCCTCTTTCATCATTATGAGTAGAGATAAAATTCTGAAATTTAATTTTTATATTACTGATGGTATCTTTGTTTTAGATTTGGCAGTGGTTTTGAAATACGTCGTATATTTGCACGGAAAGTTCTAAATGGTACCAAATTTGGTAATGGACGAAAGGAATGGTTATGAAATTCTCAAATTTGATATTCAGGTCTCCATTGGTATCTGGAATTATGAAATGGAGTTGGTTTTTGAAATGTTTACTATAATTGTACGAAAAGTACTAAATGGTACCAAATGTGTTATTGGGTGAAGGAATAGAGTTGGAATCCTCAAATTCGATATTGTGGTCTCCGTTGGTATCTGGAATTAATATATGGAGTTGGTTTTGGAAATTTGTACCATAATTGTATGAAAAGTACTGAATCGTATTAAATTCGGTATTGGGTGAAGGGATAGAACTAGAATCCTCAAATTTGATATGCATTTCCATGTTGGTGTCTGTGGTTGAGACAAGGATTTGGTTTCGGATATGCGTCGTATTAAATTTGGTAAAGAGGGAAATAACAGAGCTGAAATCTTGAAATTTAAAATTAAAGTCACTGTTGGTATCTGAAGATGATATATGATATTGTTTCAAATGTGCATATTTTAACTTTTTTTTATACCTTCCACCATTCGGAAGGAACTTGACATTTCTCAAAAAAAAAATCCATCAAAAACTATCGCTCAAATGAGAACCGTTACATAGGGGATATAGGAAGACTTGAACCTGCATAGGTAATTTTTTGTCAAGGGCTATAGTAACGATTCCGAACTTCAAATAAGGTGAATAATGGCTAATATCATCAAAATACGAAATGAAGGGATGTACCGTTGTATGAGGGCTATAATAAACGTAGACCTGCATAGACAATTTTCCCTCATAGGTTATAGTACCCAATACGAAATTTAACGCAATTCTGGCGAATATGTCGGAGTAGCGCAATAAGATCGCTTACTAAAACGTAGACCATTGTAGACAATTCTCTTTCAGGGAGTAAAGTATTCATAGGAAACTCCTTGTATGGATTTTCAGACAATTCCACTGAAAAATTTGGCTACAAACATTAAAATAGCAAATATAGGAAGGTACCGTTATCTATATAGACAACTCTCTTCCTGAGGGTAGAGTACTCAGAAGGAACTCCCTGTGTGGGTTTTGAGACAACTCCATTGAAAAATGTGGCTAAAACATTAAGATACCCAATATAGGGAGCACCATTGTGTGGGGGCTACTCGACATCGTGGACCTATATAGACAATTCTCTTTCAGGGGGTAAAGTACTCACAGAGATCTCCCTGTGTAGAATTTAAGAAAATTCCATTAAAAATGTGGAATCATGGAAATACCGAATATCGGAGGTGCGGTTACATGGTATGATATAGCCTCTCTTCGAACTTGACCTGCCTGCAGACATAAGACAGATCGGTGCAAAGTTTTAGCTTCCTATCTTTCGATGAGTTGCAAACGGAATGACGAAATTAATATAGCCTCCATACTATGTATGGTGGAGGGTATAAAAATGCGTATGTTGAACGAAAAAAAGTAAATACTGAATTTGGTACTGGCTGAGGATATAGAGTTGGAATTCTGATTTTTTATATGTACGTCACTGTTGGTATCTGTAGTTGAGAGGAAAGGAAATACGTACTATGAACGTACAAGTGTGCAAAATGCCAGAAAATGTAACATTAGGATAGAGTTCGATTTCTGAAATCTGGTATCGATGTCACAGTTGCTTTCTAGGGTTACACATTGAAAAAAATTGAGGATTTTGGCTTTAGGGTGTAAAAGGTTAACATTTTCCTACTATCCTTTCTACAGGGTGAGACAAAAAAAAAACCTGTAACAAAGTCAAAGGCCATAATTTTTATTTTTTTTTTTTTTAACTTTCATTGAATGAAACCAAAAAATGTCGGAAATAGCATAAAATGTTAGAATAAGTTTAGATTTGTTCGAATTGGTCACCTTCGGCACGAATTTTGGCCTTCAAACGGCCAATGAAACGGCCAATCACACGCTGCCCGAATGTTGCTCTGCGGTATTTTGGCCCATTCCCGGCGAAGCGCTTGCTTGAGGTGATCGACACCTTGGTATTTATTATTGGCAACATTGCTTTCCAAAATACTCCGGACACAATAGTCCAACGGTTTGGTATCAGGAGATTTTGGTGGCCATTGTGCGCTGAAAATGTAGCAAGGAATCTCATTTTGTAACCATCGCGTGCTAAGTGCGATGATGCTGAGGCCTGTTGGAATGCCCAAGTTCTGCGGCCAAAATGTTTGCATGCCCAAAGCTTTGATACACCCTCTAGAATATTTTCGCGGTAATATTCGGCATTTTTTCTGATGCCACGGTCGAATACGAGCGGAAAGCGACTATCGTCTGTTATGGCGGCCTACACCATCAGCATGGCTGGCGCTTGAGTTCTTGTGGCCAACTGAATGTGCACATTATCAGCTGACCTCTTTGGCAAGTAAACACGATCATTTTGTTTGTTTACAAACTGCTGGACAACAAACGTTTTCCCATCGAAAAAAAAACAAATTCGGCCTTGAAAAGCTCTTCTGTCCATAGGAAACCTTGGATATCTCTTCTATCCCTGGAATATAGCTCTTCCTTCTATTAAGGTCATAGAAAGGCTTCTCCGTTTATAGAAAGCCTTAAAAGTTTTGTTTTGTCTATAGAAGTTCTTGAATGGTTAACCACACCACAAGGTGGTCATGGTATTATGTATTTATGCATTTGTTTGTAACAGGCAAAAGGATACGAGCTAGACGCATAGTTCCTTTTGATGATGTGCATAGAATCACATTCTGAGTCGATTTATGCATGTCCATCCATCCGTCTGTCGCATTTATTACCCGATACAAATGAAACTTTACACAAATCATTTGTTTGGCCCAAGGACGAACCCTAATGAAATTGGAGATAATCGGTAAAAATTTAGATATAACTCCCATATATATCTTCGTCCGATTTGCCTTTTATTGTCCGCCAAACGCGTAATATCGGTCCGAATATTATGGAATTTTGCACATACAACCTAATTAGGACTGAAAATAAGTATGCCAAATTTCATCGAAATCGGTTCAGATATAGCTATAGCTCCCATATGTATTGTTCATCCTATTTGTTATTTTTGTCCTCCACAGCCGTAATATGCACTCTGTAACAACAATATTTGGGTATATTTCCTCAAATACAGCTCAGAAACATCTTAGCTAAATTTTATCGAGATCGGTTCAGATTTGGATATAGCTCCCATATATAACTTGGTCCGATTTACTTTTATTGTTCACCAAACGTCTAATATTTGCCCAAATGATATGAAATTTGGCACTTACGACCGAATTGAGTCTAGAAGCTAGTATGTCAAATTTGGTGAAGATCGGTTCAGATATAGCTATAGCTCCCATATATATTGTTCATCCGATTTGTTATTTTTGTCCTCCACAGCCGTAATATGCACTCTGTAACAACAATATTTGGGTATATTTCCTCAAATACAGCTCAGAAACATCTTAGCTAAATTTTATCGAGATCGGTTCAGATTTGGATATAGCTCCCATATATAACTTCGTGCATATTGTGCATCAAAAGTGCAATATTTGCCCAAATGGGATGAAATTTGGCTCTTACGACCAAATTGTGTCTAGTCGGCCCCGCCCGACTTTAAGACTTTCTTTACTAGTTTTGTATTTAATCATGATTTTAAATTTAATTTTTTTATTTCCAGAAATCCTTTACATTAATTCTTCAAGCACTAGATATGTACAATGTTTCATATCCGGGTGAGTATTTTATTTTTTTTTTTTAATTTTTTCCTTAAATCTAAAATCATTAAAAATCGTTTTTTTACGTAATTCGTAATTTATTTTCTTTCATTTTTTGGTATTGCATTTTCCCCAACTTCCGTCTTGGGTTGTTATAAACAAATCGCAAATTCATGTGAACAATGGCTACTCCTTAACTATCCACCCAACAACCAACCAATTTCACAAAACAACAAAATTGTGTTCGTTTGGAAACATACAACATGACAATACAAAAAAATTTCCATTTTCTAAAACAAACAAAAACAACTGCAACAACAACAACAACAACAATGATGATGTCGATGTCTATGATGATGATGGCCATGACTATACCACCCATTTTGTGTTTCATTTTCAAATCCATTGCAACTAACTTCATCGATTGTGCCACCCATTTCACTGGAACAACAACATCCCCGCCAGATTCCGAAAGGTTAATTGAAGAAACATCATTCTCCAGCGTCATCCTACCATCGCCCGAATGGAAAACATTGGATCATATCGGTCGAAATGCCCGAATTACCTATCGTGTCAGAGTTCAGTGTGCAGCTACCTACTACAATACGACGTGTACGACATTTTGCCGATCACGTAACGATCGCTTTGGTCACTACGACTGTGGGCCGCAGGGCGAAAAGATCTGTTTGAACGGTTGGACGGGTGACAATTGTGAAAAGGCCATATGCAAACTGGGCTGTGACCCCGTCCATGGGAAATGTGATAAGCCGGGTGAATGCGAGTAAGTAAATGAAACGAAGTAGAGAAAATGACATAAAAAGAAAAGACAACAAAAGTGTCATATATATTTTTACATACATATCATAATTACTTGAGGTAGTCCGCTACTTGAGTGTGTCACATGGGTGCTATTAAGAAATATAATGTTGTATTTATTATTGTTGCTTTAACCGACTTTAATGGAGGAAATGACCTGAACTAGAAATGTTGAAAGCGATATGAAAAAAAACGGTGTAAAGAGAAACAAGTTGAAAAGCAGTAAGTTCGGCCGGGCCAAACTTTGAAAACCCTCCACCATTTGCAAAGAATTTGGAAATTTTCAAAAAATAAAATCCTTAAAAAATTGTGTTAAAATTTTAAGAATACCGAATATAGCCGTTATATTGGGGTCTATACGACGTGGACTTACATAGCCATTGTTTGTCATAAGCCATTACCATATTCAAATTCGAAACTTGAAATAAACGGTGAATAATGTAGCTAAAATCATAAAAATATCGTATATAGAGAGGTAGTGTTATATCGGAGCTGTGCGAAGACCTGAAACAACATAAACCATTTCTGTCACAGGCTATAGCATCCATTACGAACTTCAAATACGACATCTCAAACAATGTCAGTGGGTTTTGAACCTAAACTAAAAATACCGAATATAGGGAGGTACTGGTATGTGGGGCCTATACGAAGACCTGGACCTGCATAGACAATTTTCTGTCACAGACTGTTGTTTCCATTACGAACTCTAAATACGTAATTTGAAACAATTCCGGTGAATAACGACGCTAAAATCATCAAAATACCGAATATTTGGAGGTACTGTTATATGGGGGCTATACGAAGACGTGGACCTGCACAGAGGTCTGTCATAGGCCGTAGTAACTATTCCAAACTTTAAATACCAAATTTGAAACAATTCCGGTTAATAATGTCGCTAAAATCATCAAAATACCGAATATAGGGAGGTACCGTTATATGGGGGCTATACGAAGTCGTGGACCTGCACAGACAAATTTCTGTCTTAGGCTGTAGTATACATTTCGAACTTCAAATACCAAATTTGAAACAATTCCGGTGAATAATGTCGCTAAAATCACCGAATATCGGAGGTACCGTTATATGGCAGCTATACGAAGCCGATATATCCTATCTGCAAATCAGATATTGAGTTAATAAAAATATTGGGATATGGTGAATTTGAAGAGAATCTGATATTCAAAATTTTGACACGTTGTGGGGGAGGTACCAGAAAGAGTGGACCGATATATCCTACCTTCACAACAGATCTTGTGTTAATAAAAGTATTAGAATGTGTAAAGTTTGAAGACAATCGGAATCTCGCTTCACATTTTATAAAAGTTATAATTATTCCAAAATTTGACCCTTTGTGAGGAAGGTACCACCTTCACACCAGATCTTGTGTTAATAAAAGTATTAGAATGTGTAAAGTTTGAAGACAGTCGGAGTCTTATTTCACATTTTATAAAAGTTATAATTATTCCAAATTTTGAACCTTTGTGTGGGAGGTACCAGAAGGAGTGGTCCGACACATTCCCTCTTCAGACCTGGTTTAGTTTTCATAGAAATACTGAGATCTGCCTGATTTGAAAAAACTCAAATGTTCATTTCGCGTTTTACGAACCTTAGGGTTATTCAAAATTTTAACTTTGTGTGGGAGGTACAAGAAGGAGTGGTCCGACACATTCCATCTTCAGACCTGGTTTTGTTTTTATAGAAATACTGAGATCTGTTATACTTGAATTTGTAAAGAATCAGCTGTTTATTTCGCGTTTTACGAACTTCTTGGTTATTCATAATTTTAACCCATTTGTGGGTGAGGTACCAGAAGGAGTGGACCGATGTATCCCATTTTCCCACCAGATCTTGTGCTATTAAAAAAAATAAATGTGTGAAATTTGATGCGAATTTAATTGATCTTTTTGACTCTTTGTGGGGGAGGTACTTGTGGTCCGATACAATCCATCTTCAAACCTGATTTTTTGTTGACAGAAATATTGAGATGTGCCGATTTTGAAAAGAATCGGAAGCTCATTAACGTTTTACGAACCTCATGTCTATTCAGAATTATGATCCTCTTTGGGAGGTTACCAGAAGGAGTAGACCGATATATCCCATCTTGAAACCAGGTCTTGTGCTAATAAAAATATTGGGATGTGTTGAAGTTGAAGAGAATCTAATGGTTATTTCGCATTTTATGATAAATATAATTATGTAAAATTATGAACCTTCATGGGGGTGGTACCGAGATATATCGGAGTGACCAATGTATCTCTTCTTCACACCGAATTTTGTGATAATAAAAATATTGGGATGCGGTGAATTTGAAGATAATCTGATGCTGATTTCGCATTTTATAACAGTTATAATTATTGAAAATTTCGACCCTTTGTGGGGGAGGTACATGATGAAGTAGTCCAGTAAAAATATTGGGACGTGCAAATTTTGAAGACAATAGAACTTTCATTTCACATGCGGGATAAAGTGGGCCGATATTGTCCACTTTCGCAGACGACTTAGCACTGATAAAAATATTGGGATATGCAAAGTTGGCACAAAATCGAAGGATCCTTTCTCTTTCTATGATATAAATTATTTTCTTTGAAAATGTTGACCTTTTACGGGGGAGGTACCAGAAGGAGTGAATCGATTTCACTCATTTTCGAACAGGATCTAATTTTGATAATAATATTAATAATATTACGATGTACCAAGTTTTGACTAATGGATGCTCCCTTCGAGAGTCATCGTGCACACCATCCATCCAGCCAGACAGACAGAAAGACAGAAAGACGGAAACCCCTAAATCGTCTCCAAATTGTCCTGAAACGGATTTTGTCCAAAGAGAGCTAGAGTCTAAAACCTCTATTTCGATGAGACACGTTTTGGTCGTATCAAATGATATATACCCGCCATATGGCTAAGGATATAATAACGGTACCAAATTCATTATTCATTGATGTTGCTGAATTGATTCTCCCAGATTAGATGTCATAAAACAACAAGACATACATAAATCCAAACCGCTAACTCCGTACTACGCTGCATTTTAACATCAACCATAAAATGAATTTCACATTCCTCAAATATTTTTCAAACATTTTTAAAACTACTAACTCCACCTCTTTTTTCCAAAAAAAAATTAAAAATACACACACACACCACCACCACAACATCTCCTTCGATGTGATTTTTGGCATTATAAAGCATCTGCAGAGATAATAAAATTGCTTAGTAACAGCATGCTGCTGTATGGTTAAGTAAATCCAAGCAAATAAATAACTTATTTCTCAGGTCAAACCTTGCCAAACAAACCAACAGCCAAACATAAAAATGTGTACATTGTCTATGACCGACCCAACTAAGTGCTAGGTATACAAATTGGTATGAGAGACTGCTAGACTAACTGTTGTTGCAACCCAATTCTGACCTATTGATGGTTAACAAATAAATATATGGCTGATGTTGGCCATCATTGATCTTTGTCTACTTAAATTTTTTGTTGCTGTTGTTACTTTCGGGATTTCTAAATACAGTGTAGCAAGGATGGGAAGAGTATGGTTAGAAAACGAGGGTTGTCATCATACGTTTACCCAACTTGACAAGTAAACAAAGCTTGGTTTTAGCTTTAAATACAACCGAAATTCTCTATGGTCGTATTTAAAATGGAGTGTATTTAAATCTTATCCTTCTGCTTACAACTCCACCAAGTTATGCTTGTAATGCTCTATGAGCTATGTTTCTGCTACCCAAGCTTAATTTTTTTGTCTTTCCTCGAGATCTTATATTTTACTGGAAATTATTGTTTATATACTGACTAACTGAGCATCAACGCCCAGACGAAACAGCTGAAGCTAGAATCTTGAAATTTTGGGTGAGGATCACTCTTGGTCCGAAGGTGTTAGATAAGACAGGGTGTTTGACAATTCGTACTAGAAAAGTACGAAAAATAATAAAAGGTACTAATTATGGTATACTTTGTATTCGAACCAATAGAGCTGGAACTCTTTAAATTGGAATGAAGTGTACGATGAATGTACCAAAGGGTTTTTGGAAATTCGAACTATATGTGTACGAAAAGTACTAAAATGTACCACCTTTGGTTCCAAATCATATCATACGAACGGTTTGAGATAAAAACTTGAAATTTGGAATAGGAAAAGTACTAAACAATACTAATTGTTGGTACAATTCGAATTTAGAGGAGAGGGTGGAGCTGGAATCCAGTAATTTGAAATTAACATTGCTGGCGGCGGGTAGAATTGGGATGTGGCGCTAGTTTTCGAAATGTGTACTTATGTGTCCTAAATGGTACGAAATTTGGTACAATTTGAATTTGGGTGAACTAATAGAGCTGGAATGGTGGAATTTAGAAATAAGATAACTATCGCTCTTTAGGACTGAGGTATGAACGTAGTTTTAGAAATGCGTACTCATGTGCACTAAATGGTACTAAATTTGCTACAATTTATGTTCTGAGTGAATCGACAGAGCTGGACAATTGGAATAACCATTACGACAAATGCGATAAATGTACTAAATTACATATAAATGTACTCAAATCAGTACAATCTGGATTTGCCTGAACTAAAAGGGCTGGTATCCTGAAATTTGAAATTAACATTACTGTCGTAGTGTAGAATTGGAATATAGAAGTAGTTTCGGAAAATCGTGCTTATGTGTACTACATGTGACTAAATTTGGTACAATTATTATTTGGACGAAACAATAGGTGTGGAGTCCTGAAATTTGGAATTGGGATTACTGTGGGAGTGTAGGATTGGGGTATGTAGGAAGCTTTGGAAATTCGTACTTATGTGTACTAAATGGTACTTAATTTGGTACAAGTTAGAACTGTGGCGAACAGATTTAGTTGGAATTGTGAAATTTGGACTTCGAGTCACTGATGAAATGTAGGATTGCAGTACCTGGACATATGTAGGTGATTTCGGAAATGTGTACGAAGAGTACTGAATGGTACTAAATTTTGTACTAAATGTACAATTTAGTACTATATTTGGTATTGGTATTTGATATGAATGTCACTGTCGGGGTCTGTCGTTAAGATATGGAGATGGTTATGGAAAGTGTACTAAAGTTCTACTTTTTCGTACTAAATTTGGTATTGGGTTTGTGGCTGGGATTGTCAAATTTGATATTGGGCTTCCTGATAATTTTTCCTTGTGCTTATAAAAACAAAGATTAAAAATCCACGAGATTACGATTCAAATTTTACAAATAATATTTAGAAATCCAAGAATATAGTTCACGTAGACCTCACGAAAATAATGTTTATGAAACACTCGAACATAGGTCATTTGATCCATTAGTTATTTTGAATTTTTTTTTCTCTTTTTTGAAAACGACTTTTTAAAATCAAAGAATCTAGTTTTTTAAAATAATCCCATTTAGTCCTTTGGAAAAGAGGACATTTTTATACCCTCAACCATATGACAGAGAGGCTATATGTAGGACTTAGGTCTTTATGGACCAAATCTATTTCAGGACAGTTGGAGTCGATATATGGTTGTCCGTCCGTCTGTCTGGCTGGCTGGCTGGTGCGCACGATAACTCTCGAAGGGAGTATACGATTTGGCCCAAACATGGTACATCGTAATAACTCGAGTTCGGAGATATCGGTTCACTGCATTTGGTACCTACCTCAGAAAAAGTCGATATTTTACTTCACAGAAAGAAAAAGGATCCTTCGATTTTGCTTCAACTTTGAAGGTCAGGTGCGAAAATGGACAATATCGGTCCATTCGGTCCATCCGATTGTCTTCAAATTACACAAGTCACAATATTTGTATTCACTCAAGGTCTGGTATAAAAATGGAATAACACAAAGGGTAACAAATTAACATCTGCTTCCTTTGAAACTTGGCAGGTCCCAATATTCCTATCAACACAATATAAGGTGTCAAGATATAATATATCAGACCACTTTTTCTGGCATCTCCCCCAACCAAAAGGGGTCAACATTTTGAATAATTATATCTCTCATAAGCTTCCGATTCTCTTCAAATTTCACACATCCCTATACTTCTACTAGCACAAGATCTAATGTGAAGATGGTGGATATCGATCCACCCCTTCTGGTACCTTCCCCACATAGGGGTCAACATTTCCCCATAACAATATCCATCAAGCTCATAAAACGCGAAATGTTTTGTTTCTATATGTTTCTATCAACACAAAATCTCCTGCGAAAATAGGATATATCGGTCCACACCTTCTGGTACCTCCACCACAAGGGGTTAAAATTTTGAAGCTCGAAATTAACGTGAAATTATCATCCGATTTCTCTTCAAATTTCACAAACGCACAAACATTTTTGGTAGTACAAGATCTGTTGTGAAGATGATATACATCTGCGAACCACTTCTGGTACAACATCCACAAAGGGTCACTCTGCAAAAAATAGGAGATGTCTGATTTCCTAAAAAAATTAAAAATATTTTATAAAATATCTAAATATTTTGAAATATTATTGGCCATTGACGTCCTAATTTAACAACCCTGAGAAGCGCTTAAAATTTAAAAATGTGCGTAAAAAGGGTGAATTCGAGGAGTTAGTGAGTTTGTGTATTTCATCCTTAGATATTATATGGGGTTTTGCAGGAAACAACATCAATTTAATTTTTTTTATTATTTTTTTTACCTTATCTCCGTTTTTTGTTTTTAGTTGTCGACCTGGCTGGCAGGGTCCGTTGTGCAATGAATGTGTCGTCTATCCGGGCTGTAAGCATGGCTCTTGTTACGGTGAGGCCTGGACATGTAAATGTGATACAAATTGGGGTGGCATTTTGTGCGATCAAGGTGAGTCATTAAATTGCAACTAAATTATGGCTGAACAAATCATCTCACATACGCTAATATCCGCATGAACTCAATACAAATCGCCAATCAAAATTCTCGGCGATAATTTACATACAACGAACTCATTGGTGTATTTTTCAGTTTCGGCTGATTTAAGTTTAATATTTTACCATTTTTGTTTTTTACAAAACTTATGATTCACGTTTATCTCTTCCCTTTTTTTTTACATCCGACTAGATTTAAATTACTGCGGCACACATGAACCCTGCAAACATGGCGGCACTTGTGAGAACACAGCACCTGATCACTTTCGCTGCACATGCGCCGAGGGCTTAGCTGGGGAACGTTGTGAAATCATAGAGCATCCATGTGCAACGCAGCCATGCAAGAACGGTGGTACCTGTACGATAAAGGTAAGCGGGGCTATCTATGTATGTGTATGTTGGAAATAACCTTGGCTTTAAGTGTCTACATTTTCGAATATTTATTTATATCATGGCATGCCACGGCATGCCGCGTGATACATTATTCTCTAGAGAAAAAAAAAAACAAGATTAAGGCAATCTCAAGGAGATGGAAAGATTACATCTTTGAATATCTTTGTTATCGATTCCGTTGCTTCCCATCTCGGCTAAGCGCAAGAATCTAGAATGTCATAGGTTATGAAAAATACGTGATATAGCAACAAAATTCTTTGGATCTCTCCTCTATTTGCCGGTGAATGGTAATTCGTTTTTGCAGTATTGAATTTAGTTTTGGCTAATAATTTGTTCGGCAATTTGTTATGGAATTTAATTCAATTTGCATTGATTTTCTTGAGCCGTTGTTGTTGCAACAACAATGTATGGATCGAGGAGAATTTTTGAGTTTGAAATGAAGGAATGGTAACGGAAAATATTACCATCAAAATGCTCTAGTAGCTAAGAGCACTTAAAAGGTCTTTAATATACAAGATCTGTGAGAGTTCTCCATCAGCCACAGGCTGCCAATGGTCTTCAAAGGATATAAAAAATGTCAGAGGTTCCTGATATACAGAGAGATGTACAAAAGGTTATCTATAGCTAGAGATTTGCAAAGTTATCTATGAGAGAGTTCTCCATCAGCCACAGGTTGCCAAAGATCTCATTACTTATAGGTCTTCAAAGGATATAAAAAAATGTCAGAGGTCCTTGGTATTCAGAGAGATTTACAAAGGTTATCTATAGCCAGAATACCCCCCAAAATTTGCGTTTAGATAGGAAAGTTTTCAAAGCTTTTTAAAGACAGTAAACTTCGTCGAGGTCTTTTAACACAGAGGATTTTTCGGGACTACTTTCGGCAGAGCTTTTTTTCTTTTATATAAAAAGAAGACTCTTCCGACGGCTTCTACGGAAGACGTTTCTGATATATTCTTCTGCAAAGACCATTCAAGGCTCGTCTATATACTGAAGATCTATCCGAGGCCTCCTTCAGACAGAAGTTCTTTTAAAGATCCTCTTAATGCAGATAACCTGTCTGAAGTCTTTAATATGCAAAGTTCTTCCCTCTGCAGAAAACATGAAAAAGGTTTAAAAAAATTTCCATATGGCTATAGGTTGCACCTAAAGATCCAGATATAAGATGGGACTTCCATCTATAAAATACCTCTAAATAGCTTCTTGACTTTAGACATACTATTCCGGCTTTAGAAGAACTCTAAATGGTATTTTGGATATAGTCGACTTGTAATCGATCTTCAGGCAGTGGAGGACCTACAGAAAAACACCTGTCTTAAGGTGACCTCTGAAAGGTTATCTGACTTTTAAAATCACTTTTAGCTACAAAAGGCCTCCAAACAGCCTCCGGATTAGAGAAGACCACTCAGCACTTTTCTGGCTACAGAAGACCTTTAACGTTTTTTTTTTTTTTTGCTTCAGAAGACCGATGAGATGTCTAACTACTGAAGATCTCTCAACGGTATTTTGGCTACAAAAGCCCTCTCAAAGGTATTCTGACTACAGAAGGTCTTCTACTTACAGAAGAAATATGAACGGTCTTATGACTACCGAATACCTCGAAACGGTCTTTTGATTACAAGAGACCTCTAAAGGGTCCTCTAGCTATATAAAACATCTAAACGGGTTTTTTGCCACAAAAGACCTGTAAATGGTCTTCTATAGAAGACGTATAAATGGTATTCCGTATTCAGAAGACCTCTAAATTACAAGAGATCTCTCAACGGATGTCTCTCTAGAAAATAACTCTAAAGGGTGTTCTGTCCACAGAAGACCTCTAAACGATATTCTAACTACAAAATCCTCTAAAAGGTCTTCTAGTTCAGAAGACCTCTTCTGGCTTCAGAAGACCTCTTCTGGCTTCAGATGACTTCTTCTGGCTTCAGAAGGCCTCTTCTGGCTACAGAGGAAATCTCAAAGGTTTTTCTGGCTACAGAAGACCTCTCAATAGTATTCTGAATTCTCTACGGTATTCTGAATTCTCTACGGTCACCTGGTTGCGGAAGACTCTCAAGGGTCTTTTGACTACAGAAGATCTCTCAAGGGGTCTTCTGGCTTCCGAATACATCCTCATTTACATTTCTTTTGGCTACAGAATACCTCGAAAGCGTCTTTTGGCTTCCATAGACTTCTCTAAAGCCTTCTGAATACAGAAGACCTCTAAACGGATTTCTGGCTACAGAACTCCTCTCAACGGTCTTCGGCTACGATAGACCTATCAAGAGTCTTTTGAAGACAGAACAACTTTATACGGGTTTCTGGCTACAAAGGCCTCTCTATGGTCTTCTAGCTTCAGAAAACATCTTCCGGGTACAGAAGACCTCTTGTAGCTATAGAGGAAATCGCAAAGTTCCCGCAAAATGAATACAGAAGACCTTTCAAGGGTCTCCTGACTACAGAAAACCTCTCTAGGATCTTCTGGCTCTGTAGGGTTTTCTGGCTACAGAAAACCTCTGAATGGACTTTTAGCCACGATAGATCTCTCAAAAGTCTTCTGAATGGAGAAGGCCGCCAAAAGACATTTGGGCTACAGAAGATCTCTCTAAGGTCTTCTGGCTACAGAAGACCTCTCAGCGATCTTCTGGCTACTCTCAAAGATCCTCTAGCTGCAGAAGACCTCTCAAAAGGTCTTCAGGCTACAGAAGAGCTCTCAATGATCTTCTGACTACGGGAGACCTCCCAAAGTTCTTCTGGCTATAAAAGCTCTCTCAACAGTCTTCTGACTACAGAAAACCCCTGAAAGGTCTTTTGGCTACAGAGGTCTTCTCAACGGTTTTCTGACTACAGAAGAGCTCTCAATAATCTTCTGACTACGGGAGACCTCCCAAAGTTCTTCTGGCTATAAAAGCCCTCTCAACAGTCTTCTGACTACAGAAAACCCCTGAAAGGTCTTTTGGCTACAGAGGTCTTCTCAGCGGTTTTCTGACTACAGAAGACCTCTCAAAGGACTACAGATCATATTTCAAAGGTATTTTGGCTACAAAAGACCTCTTAAGGGTTTTTCTGACTACAGAAGACCTTCAAAATTCCCCAATCTTAAAAAAACTTCCCCGCCGAAAACCAAGGTAAGTAATGGGTTTTGCCAGCCAGTTTTGTCCATTAGTTGTTTTAAAGCATGCCGTCTCCCGTGGCTTAGATTAACATGTATGTATTTAACTCTCCAGCTCTCGTTTAATTGTAGGCTACGCAAACGCCAGAGTAACAACAACAACAACGAATCCCCCCATTTGTAATAAGTAAATGTATGATAAACGTTAAGTTTTAGTGATTCGAACGTTTATTTTTATTTCCTCTGTGTGGACAATTACGAGAACTCGTCAATTTATTTGTTTCATCTTCCATTTTCTTTGCTTTGCTTTCACAGGAATCATCAGCCACAATGCGAAATGGCTCTGGATTACCATCATCATCTTCGTCAGCATCCTCATCTTCGTCGTCATCATATCGAGTTATGCGTGACTTAAGTTCGGCCATGGGGAAACCAGTTAATAGACGCAATTTGCCGCAGCTAGGATTAAATTCAGGATCACCGACATCGTCAGCGGCATTGTTGTCAGCGTTGTTGTATGGCCATAGCAATGCAACGGCCGCCGCAACAACAAACGAATCTAGCCATCATAATGCAGCCACAACTACGTCGAATAGCCACAGCCATCATCAAATTCCACCAGTTTCGGAATTCACTTGCGATTGTGTACCCGGTTGGACTGGTCCAACATGTGAAATAAGTAAGTGGATTTGATTTACTTTGATATTATTTTACATTTGTTTTGTGTCTCCCCTCACGTCTCTCACCCCATTCAGCCATCCTTGTCAGAGCTGCAGTGTTCGTGCAATCATATTTTGAACGTTTTAGTTTTTCTTTCTCCTTTTCGAAAGCATTTGCGTGTAATGCTGTTTGTTAATCTTTATATTTATTGGGGATGTTAGGAGGAATACAGGATGGGTTAGAAGAGTTGGCAAAATTTCAATACAAATTTCAAAAGGTTTTCGAAACACAAAATTTGGTCCTAATGGACCTTTTGGTAGGAATTTTCCTTCATATGGACCTTCTTTGTAAATTGGGGCAATTTTTCCCTAATCCACCGGAATTCCAAACACTGACCTATATTGAAAAAAATTCCTCTCTTCCCTTACTTCCGAGAACCTTAAATGTCACTCTATATTCCCAGACACTTCCAATGTGAATCCGTATTTTTTTCTCCCAAATCTCCTTACCTACTGAGAATTCCCAACGACCTATACCTGAAAATTTTTTTTGCACAACAGTTCCGGCCTTCGAAGAATCTAAAAACTGGACTTCTTTAGAGACCATTATTGATTTTTTCCACATTTCCTCCTATTAACATTGATTTTTTCCATAGCTTTGCGGAATTCAAAATGTGGACCTATATTCATAATTTCCCTCCACAGCCACAGAAAATCCCAAACGTGGATATATATTGCCACAACGTCCCCCATCTTTGCAGAATCAAAAACGTGGACCTATGTTGCCAATTTTTCTAGACAGCCTTTCATACCTTATGTGAATCTCAAAAGAGGAGCTCTATTGACAAGCTTCCTTACATTTTGATATTCCTAAATGTGGTCCTATATTGATAACTTTTCTCTGCAACTACTCCTAGCTTTTAAGAATCCCAACTTAGGGATAGTACTGGCAATTTTCTCCACAGTATTCTCTACATATTGAGATTTTTTCTGTTTAACTACCTCTTCTTTTGGAGAATCCCAAATATGGATCTATATTGGCACCTCTTCTACACTACTACCCATACCTTTTGAAAATGACAAATGTGGACCTATGTTGACGACTTTTCTCCACAGCATCCTCTAACTCTTTAGAATCCCAAATAAGGCCCTATTTCTACAATTTTTCTCCACAAGGAGAAAGGTAAGGACCTTTTGAAAATCTCAAATGTGAACCTATATTGACGATTTTTGGTTACAACTGCCCCTACTGTTTGAAAAACCCTGCCTCTGGAGAATTCTATATTCACAACTTTTCTCCACAAGCGTCCTCGCCTTTCGAGAATCCCAAATGTGGATCTATTTCGACAAAGTTTTTCCACAATCTTCTCTACCTTTTTGGAATCCTAAATTTAGACCTATATGGACAACTTTTCTTATCGCCATTCCTTACATTTTGAGAATATTAAATGTGGACCATTATTGACGATCTTTCTCTGCAAGCTTTCCTACAGTTCGAAAATCCCAAATGTGGACTCATGGTGACAACTTTCCTTCAGAAACGTTCCTACCATTTGAGAATCCTAAATGCGGAACGATATTGACAAATTTTCTCTATAACTACCCCTATTTTTTGAGAATCTCCAATATGGAATTTCCCTACCTTTAGAGAATCCCAAATGTGGTCCTATGTTGACAAATTTTCTCCTCAATTACCTCTACTTTTTGAGAATTCCAAATATGGACCTATTTCGACAAGATTTTTCTACACCCTTCCCTACCATTTAGGAATCCTAAATGTGGACCTATATTTACAATTTTTCTCCATAAGTTTCCCTACCTTTTGAGAATCCTATATTTAGATCAATATTGAAAATTATTTTCACAACTATCCCGACCTTTTTAGAATCTCAAACACGGACCCATGTGAAAAATTTCACCCACAAAATCCTCTACATTTTTAGAATCCAATTTTGACAATTTTTCTCCAGACTTTCGTTTACCCTGCATTTTCCAAACATATACCTAAATTAACATTTTTCTCCACAGCATTTCCTAAATTTTGGAATTCCAAAGTAGGAACTTTTTTTGTAATTTTTCTCCACTTTTGCTTCCAATTTTTGAGTATCCCCCTTTCAAGTACCCCACACGTGGACATATATTAAAAATAGTTTTCCATTTTTTTCTTCCACTTTCCGAGTATCCTAAACGTGTTTATCTATTGATATTTTTCCTTCTAACCTTGCCCCACCTTCTTGTTATTCATTTTTTCCTCTCATATTCTGAGTATCCTAAACGTGGTTCTATATTGATATTTTTCTGAAGACCTAGTCCTACATTTTCAGTATCCAAAATGTTGGCCTTTAATGAAAATTCATCTCCACATGTACCATTGCATTTAAATATCATAGTCCCGGGCCTATATTGACATTTTTCTCCAGACGTTCTCCTGCCTGCGAATATCCGAAAGGTGGTCCTATATCATATGTTTTTCTCCTACCTGCCTAACATTCAAAACGTGAACTTATATGGTCATTTATTCTCCAGTCTTTCTCCTACCTGCCGAATATCCAAAACCTGGACCTGTATTGTCTATTTTCTCCAGTATTTCTCCTACCTGTCGAGTATCCAAAACGTGAGGTCCTATATCACAATTTTTCATACTTTTTCTCCAATCGTGAACTTTTAATTCAAAAGTTTTCCAGTCTTTCTCCCAACTGCCAAATATCCAAAACGTGGTCCTATATCGTCAATTTTTCTCCAGTATTTCTCCTACCTGTCGAATAACCAAAAACGTGTGGTAACAATTTTTCAGTGAACTTTTAATTAAAAATGTTCTCTATTTCCCATATTTTCAGGGTCGACTTTATTTATCTTTCGAGAATTCTAAACGTGGTCTAATTTGAAAAAAATGTTCAAAAATTTTCTGTCTTTTAGAAAGGTGAAAATAGAATGCGAAGTCATATATTTCCACCCAACTTTTTCCACAAGTGTTTCCTATACACTAAATTTTCCTTTTAGATTATTGGCCGCATTTCCACTCCACCCTATTAAACGAACATATCTCCTGCCACAAAAAAATCCACAAAAATAACTCGCCAAAGAAATGAACTGAACCCAAGAAAACAAACTAAAACAAAATCATTACATATGATTTTGTTAATAGCAGCAAAACAAAAAATTAAACCTTCAAATAAATGCTGTTTGAAAAATCCAAAAAAATTGTATTCATAATTCCATTACAAAATAGAAATGTGATTTTTATAACCATAACAGCTTTAAATCTCCATTAAAACTTGTTTAATTTGAAATTAAAGCATTTTGTCTCGAACATTTTTTTGCACATTAAATTTTATTTATGATCGGAACATTTTCATGTAAGTGTTTATTTAAAGAAAAAAGAGTTATGGTTTGTCCATAAATTGTGGCGTTTTGAGATCACGGCTTTGTAATTATGTGTAGATAATGAGTACATCTTAGGTAGAGCATTGATTTTTTTGCAATTACGGTGGATATATATAAATTCACTTATAGACGTTCTAAAAGGGGTTGAAAAGTCAGGACAAATATCTTAAAAGGTTCATTCGAGGTGAAGAGATTTTTGATATAAATCAGCGTAATAATTTCATGCATTACAAAATGTCTATTCCTTGGATGATCCTCCCACATTACGTCAAAAATTGTTTACCATCTATGGCGTAGATTCCGAAGGAATGGGCCAAAATTGTCCATTTCGTATCGGACCTAAACAAATATTATATGAAATATTTACAACGTGTCAGGTTTGGACTGTATTGGTTACTTCCGTGTGATAATTTTTGGAAAATGTTAAAATGTGCTTGAGGTACCAGATATAATCGACCGAAGTATCCAATTTTCATGTTTTATCTAATACAGATAAAGTATTGGTATGGGCACAGTTACGAAATCAAATTTTACGAGAAATATATGTGGATAAAGCAAAGAATCGCTGACTTGTTTCGCAAGTTATGACAGATAAAAGCATTGACAATTGTGGCCGTGTGTGTGTGAGGTATCAGAAGGGGTTCGCAGATAAATATCATCTTCAAAACAGATCTTGTGTTATCAAAAAGTTTGTGTTTGTGCGAAATTTGAAGAGAGTTGGATGGTTATTTCCATTTCTTTGAGCGTTTTTTTTTTTTTTTTTTCAAAATCTTGAATCCAATATGGAAAGGTACCAGAAGAAATGGTCTGATATCTACCATCTTTATAACAGATCTTCTGCTGATGGAAATATTGAGATGTACCAAGTTTGAATTTAATCAGATGTTAATTTCGTGTTTTATGAGCTTTATGTATATTCAAAATTTTGAACCTTTGTGAGGTCGGTACCAGAAGAAGTGAACCAATACATTCCATCTTCGCATCAGATCTTGTGTTAGTAGCAATAATGGGATGTGTGAAATATAAAAAGAACTGGACGCTTATTTCGGACTTTATAATTGTTTTGGGTTTTCAAAACCTTGACCTTTTGTGGGGGAGGTAAGAGAAGGAAGAGTCCGATCTTTATCAACTTTATAACCGATCTTCAGTTAATAAAAATATTTAGATGTGTTAATTCTGAAGGGAATTTGATATTAATATCGCCTTTTATGAGCTTCATGATATTCAAAATGTTGACCCATTGTGGGGGAGGAACCAGAAGGAGTGGACCGATATATTCAATCTTCACACCAAACCTTGGGTCAATAATAAAATTTGAAGGCAATGAAAATCTTTCATAACATTTTATAAGAATTATTATTTTATATTTTGATCCTTTGTGGGGAAGGTACTTCATTGAGAGGTATTTGTGAATATTGTCCATTTTTTCGCACCTGACCTGACTTTGTCATTCCGTTTGTAACTCCTCGAAATACTCATGTCAGACCCAACAAAGTGTGCACTCTTGATCAGCGTAAAATTCCAAATCGATTTAGCGATGTCCGTCTGTCTGCTGTAATCACGCTATCTTTCTAACAAATTGAGATAGACGGCCAAGATTTTGCACAAATGTTTTTTTTTTTCCAGTAAGCAGGTT